GAGAATGGCGCGATTTCAAATTTATTCTCGACGAATTTCGTAATTCTCTCTTCGAAATAGAGAGAAGAGTCTCTTCTTTCGATACTAATTGTAAAATATATCTTGTACATACCGACGTATAATTTATCATTTTTATTCGTCGTATGAGTGCAACAGATTCTTCCCCGCTTGAAACTCGTTTCTCCAACATTTCCATATTTTCACAATCCATATGCAACGTCGAGAAAAACGATTACAACTTGGAGAGAGAGGGAGAGGAAAAGTGTGAAAAAATATAAGAAAACGCAATAATCGCGCGTTTGCAACCCGTGCCATTTACCTTTCGACAACATTCGAGAACCCTGGCTGCCATCTGCTCGTTTTTAATACCGCGTCGTTCATCTCCAATAATTAATTATCGCCAAGCGAGTTACGCGTCGTCCTCGAGAAAATGGTGAAAGAACGTCCTAATTTCACTCGCAAGAGTTTCTTCAAGCAACGATCCTCTCCCGAATTAAGATTAAAAAATTTCCAATTAATTTCTCCCTTCGAAATGATGGATTTATTGTGTTATATATGTGTTAGAAAATGTTAGAATAAAAAAGAAAATAATCGATATATAAAGAAAATGAAAAGGACAAAAGAAAACAAAATTACAGTTTCTTAAATGTGGACTAACAACGTTAATTCGCTATTTGAACGATTGCTCGTGGACATTTGTATTTCGAACGTGACAAGGACAGGAACGGTCGAATCTCTTCTATTGAAAAAATAAAAAAATACGCAATCTCCAAGTTTGGGAAGCGTTTCGAATTTGACAAAATTCGTGAGCTTGGAAAGAAACGGATGTTGGGAAAAGAATTATTAAAACAAGAGGTTACGGCTTTTAGACATGAATCAGATACGCGCCCAAACATGTGATAATTTAACAAAATGAGGATAAAAACAAGGAAAGTGAGAATTATAAAAGCATGGAGAAAGCATGGTAAGAAGATACACTGACAAGATTGAAAGAGATGAAAAGGTTGCCAACTAGAAATATCGTTATTGCTTATTTCTCCAACATACGATAAATAAATAATCGTAGAAATGGATATATATATATATATTGTGATGCAAGATAGATTGGAATCAATCCATAAATATGAATGAAAGAATCGTGTCATGGTGAACGAAAATTAATTCTAGTATTAGTTTTGCGGATCGAATAATGAGGTAAAATGGAAAGTTTCCACTTTTTGTAGAAAATTATTAACTCACAAAATTGAAATTTTATCGAAACTGTTGACGCGTCGTGTCTTCTCTTCATATTTTCTTTAATCCGCAACAAACAAGAGTTTCGAACAGTGTATCGTTCGTAAATTTGAAAATGAATTTTCTTTGAGCCATGGCGACTGAGAGTGCAATCGGTAAGCAATTCGATTTCGATGGGCTGGAAAAAATTTTTAAAACGCACTTTTGTTGCAAATTTGATCCTCATCGATCTTGCAGTTCCTTTTTTTACTTTAGCTTTTTTTCTCATCGTCTGATTGTCAACACATCGTTCGAGCTCGAAAGGAAGGCTAGGTTAATAAAACCGACCGATCTCTTCGATACAGAACTAACTCTCTTGCGCAACATCGTTCTATAAATCGGTTCGACGCGGTTGAGAAAGAAAGTGGAAGCCCCCCTGAGGGGGGGGCACGTGTTCTTTTTCGAGTTTTCTACCCAGAGAATTGCGCTCAACTTGGAAGAAACGTTGTTGGATTCGTGTCTCTCGCCTTCGAAACAGGTCGATCGATCGGTTTAAACAATCGGGAATAAGAAAATTCTTGTTGTAAGAAAAGATTTCTTTCAATTCAATTGGAAATACGTTATTCTTCTTTTTTAAGAATTGAAATTTTACAAATTTTCAACGAAACATTTATATCTCTACTTAAAACATAACCTAAAAAAAGCGAAAAGCTTGACGATGATGGAGTGGAACAACGATATCGTCGTGCGTTGTTTGGTATTATTCGTGAAATGGTATTCCACGAAAAGTGTGTGGTATTAATCTCGATTTATAACCGCGAAAGAATGTTTCTCCCTCTCCTCGAGGTTCCATTGTTTGCCGCGTATAATCACGTGACAGGAGACAAACCATCGAGCGTGATCTCATTCGTTGTTTCATTGTTGGGCCAAAAGTATCGAAAATAATAATAATAATAATTTTCAGAATAAAAGATCGCCAAAGAGGGATAGAATTTTATCGTTTCACTTTTGAATTTGTACGCGCTTTCCCCTTCTTGTCGTTCAAATTATCGTGCAAGATATAACGGAAAGAAAAAAATTGAAAAGTTGGTGGCATTCGCATTTAATAATTACGATGATATATTTTATGATCTAATCGGCACTTGGACTAACACCAACATGATACAATTTGCTTGATAATACAATTGGACGGATATTCTTGTCGAAGAAAATTTCAATTTCAATTAAATTTCAATTAAATTTATTCTCAGGAATGATTTATCGTTATCACCAATGATTAAAATTGATTTCCGCCGAGCGAGAAGTTGTTAGAAAGGCGGATTCCGATGGATTCGAGTGGAAATCGCGAGAAACAACGAGGGATCCAGCTACGATTAACGAGATCACGTGGTTGATTCAAGGCTAGCCAAACCAACGCGAGATAATTATCGTCTTATTACGCGGCAGATGCATCTGGTTATGTCACCGAAACCACCGATTCCCGTACATGCCTCGCCGTTTAACTCGTCTGCCGATTAGGAAGAGCCGATCGATACCGATTCCATCGATCGAACCGTCGATCGTGTAAACAAAAGAACGGCGAAATTACCAATATCCTCGAATTTGGGTCCATCGAATTTTGATCGATCGAATTTTGATCGATGGAATTTGGATCGATCGAATTTTGATCGATGGAATTTGGATCGATGGAATTTGACCGATCGAATTTTGATCGATCGAATTTTGATCGATTGAATTTGACTGATCGAATTTTGATCGATCGAATTTAACCGATCGAATTTGGGTCGATCGAATTAAACTGATCGAATTTAGATCAAATATGAATCGATCGAGTTTAGATCAAATTTGGGTCGATCGAATTTAGATCAAATATGAATCGATCGAGTTTAGATCAAATTTGGATCGATCGAGTTTAAATCAAATTTGGATCGATCGAATTTAGATCAAATTTGGATCGATCGAATTTAGATCAAATTTGGATCGATCGAGTTTAGATCAAATTTGGGTCGATCGAATTTAGATCAAATTTGGATCGATCGAGTTTAGATCAAATTTGGATCGATCGAATTTGGATCAAATTTGGATCGATCGAGTTTAGATCAAATTTGGGTCGATCGAATTTAGATCAAATATGAATCGATCGAGTTTAGATCAAATTTGGGTCGATCGAATTTAGATCAAATATGAATCGATCGAGTTTAGATCAAATTTGGGTCGATCGAATTTAGATCAAATTTGGATCGATCGAGTTTAGATCAAATTTGGGCCGATCGAATTTAGATCAAATTTGGATCGATCGAGTTTAGATCAAATTTGGCCGATCGAATTTGGGTCGATTAAAAATTAATCGGGACGTTCTCTCGTGAAGATCTCTTGGAAAGGGTTTTTCGCAGAGTTTCTGCATTTTCTAACAATTCGTTTCTTCTCCTCGCGAACGAGGATAATTAAACGCGAAAATTTACGTTTATTTATTTGCAGATCGAAGATAGAACCGAACCTTCTGAAATGGTTATAAATTCTACTTCGATTATTATAACAAAAGTTTGGCGACACAACATAGAGTCGAAACAGGAACTAAACGATTCGACAATTTTTCTTTTTTCTCTCTTTTATTTTTTCACTTACTCTTGAACAGCCGAAAGACTATAGTAACTCCCCTGTTGATGCTGCTGCTGCTGCTGGTACAAAATGGTCGAAGCTTGTCCACCTCGATCGTCCTGGTGGATCCTCGACTGCAGCTCGTCCAACGAGATGAACTCTTGCTGCTGCTGCTGCTCCTGGCCAGGCTGGTGGAGGAGCTGAGCGTAGCTCTGCGCCATCTCTTGGGCCACCATCTCCTGCTCCGGCCCCCTTTCGAAACACAGCAGATCCTCCAACTCCTCCCTCTGCTCCCGATACCTCTGCACCTCCTGCTCTTCTCGGGGGTAACGACGGCGATCCTGGCTCTCCTGGGACTGGCGAAGGATCGGGGAGGTGTTCACGCGGGTGCCATCGCCGACCACCGCGACATCGTCCTCCATGACACCACCGGTGTCCGCCAGTAATCCACCCTCTGTGGGGACGTTCACCAACGTTTTTTTCCTCGCGTCTCGTACAACGTGGTTGCAACGTGTGAACAGTCCAAGTTTCGTGGAGGAATCTTTTTCGAAGATTTGGAAACGCGATTTTTAACGGGTTTGGAGATCGAGTCCCCATCTTTTAGAGATTTTTGTTATTCGTCGGGGCTGAGGAACGAACAACTTGGCTTTTTCATTTGGAAATTGAACTTGAGTTCCTTTAGCTGCGGAGTGTGGTTTATAAACCACGTGTTTTAATTTGGATTTTGTGGAGTCGCGTTTAGAGTGATCGGCTGTGCTAAAAGTACCCGCAGTTAAAGGGTTCCCGTCGTTTTAGACGAAGAGGAAGAGTACGAGATCGTTGCGATTAATTTTTAATACTGTTCGAGTGATTAATCGAGAGACGCTTTGGAATATTACTAGACGCCAAATACCACTAGTTCTCTTCCTGGAATCAAGATTTCGCGTTGTTACGATAAGATTAGCTAGCTTAATTACGTAATTATTTGTCACGATTACTTTATCGTCTCGAGGAGAGAGAGCTTTCTTAAATAGTACGGTTGAATATCTAACCGGAAACACCTCGATGATACCGAAATCTAGGGAATTCGGTTTCGCACCACGATGAAATTATATATATATATATATTTCCTTCTCTTTCGAAGTATCGTGCTCGTTCGGAAAATAGTTTCGTTCTTCCACGCGAGTGTCGCTAGTGTCCAACGTTTCCAACTTCACTCTAAACCGTGCTGTTGTTACATTGTCTCGAGAGTTGGCGTTTCATTCTTGCGAGCGATAACAAAGATGCGAGACCGAAAAGAGTAGTACGTATTTTATCATCGAAAAGGTAAATGGAGAAGGTGTATTAGCGTTGTCGAAGTACGATTTTTCCTTCCAAGTATATTTCTCGTGCATCCAACGAGGATTCGAACGTACGATGAGTAAATTTCCCGCGATTTCGCGATCGTTCGAGGAAGAGTTATAATGATTGGACGTCGGTAACAAATCGAAGAGGAGACGAAGTAAGAGAGAGACGAAGCGTCAATCTCTCTCTCTCTCTCTCTCAGCCGACAGACAATTTCATATTTTTATGACATTTCGAACACACGTTCGAGCCGTTGCTGCTTACGTGTCGACCCCGCGACACGTGGAACGCTTTTACCGATACCGAAATGACGTAACGACGCGATTAACATCGCCGCGTTTCGTTCGTTTTCGCCAGACGATGATGATGATGATGATGATGATGATGATGATTTCGAAACATCTCCAGGAGGCTAGATAGAATGATCCCCGGGTTTGAATGGAATTCTTGGAAACCCGATTCCACGATATTCGGGACGAGTAGGTGAACGTTTGATCTTTCGTGATGATTTTTTCTCGAGCGACGAAGTAAAGTGAAAAAAAAAAAAGAGAAAGAAACGAGCGCGAGTTCGAAGGAGAGAGAATTTTTTGAAATTCCAGGTTTATGTGTTTGTTGCGTGTAAACGTTTAATATTTATGAACGGCGAGGTGTACGCGTGTATCCCTCGAGGAAAAGTATCGGCGACTTTAAATCGTTGTGTGTGGAAAATGGACGTTGAAAGACGAGAACCGAATAATAATAATAATAATAATAAATTTTTAGGGGAAAGATAGAAATTTCTAAGAGAGAAAAGTTGAGAAACATTTATATTATTGAGATTGGAAAATGCGTAATAAGTAAACATCGGTGGAAAATATTTCTCTTTAAGAATGCGCGTCTTTTCGTTCCTTTTTCGCCGGTCGTTCGTGAAATTTCCTATTATAATTATATAAAGTCAGCGACAGTGATTAATCGCATTGATGATTTGTTACTTCATTATTCACATTCGTTAAACGTTCGATCCTTTCTTTCGAAATTTCAATTTGACGAGGCAATAATGTAATAATTAATTAATACATTATTATAATAAAAAGATATCTTTTCCAATTCTTGATTTCCGAAGAATCTTCCATCTGATATATTGATAAAGAGATTTCTTTCAAGTGTTTCCCTTATCTACGTTTTCATCGTTTGATCTATCTTCTCACGGTTCACTTATCGAGCATTTTCAAATTGAAAAAAAAAAAAAAAAAGAAAATCGATAAATGCTTTCCACACACGCGTGCGTCTACTTTTCTTTCGAATCACTCGTTTAGTAACATTTTCTAAAACACGGTATCGAAATTCACTACGGTTTGATATTCGATAAGTGTATATTTAGTAGATGCGTTTAGTACGATGATGAAACAGGATCTGAAAAGTTTGCAAGTTTAAAAATAATTTAGAGAAAAAAATGAATGGTCAGACGCGGATCGAATTGCACTTTTTTTTTTTTAGTAAGAAATTGATGGTAAACTGGGCATTTTTCGAAGTAAAAATCCTACTCACTCGTGTCAGCCACGAATCAACTCCTTAATGCTCGAATCGTTGATCAACAATCAACTTTAAATATTCCAATTATTTTATCTATTTTTTTTTTTTTGTATTTGAAGCGATACGATGATTATTAAGGAGTCAATAATAATACAAAAAAGAGAAATAAAAATTGGATGATAAAAATTTTTCTATCTTATATCGTGCGAAAGATTCGTTTCGAAAGCGGTGCAATGCAATCATCTTGATTCACCTTGAAGAAATTGAGAAAAGCATGTGTAATAACAAGGTCGAGATAAGAAGATAATTTCATATCGTAGAAGAAGAGAGTAATCGAAACACGAGGAAAGAGAGATAAATAAACGACGAGGTGAGAAAAGTTGAAAGAAGAAGAGATTAGAAATTTCCTTCCGTGTGAACGGACTCGTTGCGACAATCTTAGGTGATGTTAATGAAGAAATTGGGGAGATACCTTGAATAAAAGCGACGTGGAAATCCAGAGGCGCACGAGTTCGTCGACACGAGTCAATTCTAGCATCTATCTAGAAATACGGTGTCACATTCTCACTGAACACGTGTCAATTAATCCACCAAATTAATTCATTTCCCCCCTCCCCTCCACCCCGAGAAATCAAAACAACACCACATTTTTGCACTCGATGAATCCGAGCAGGAACAAAACATCGAGATTCGATCTTAAGAAAGAGCCAAAGCCGTTTGGCCGTGTGGATCCAACGGTACCCTTTTCGATCATCGAAGTGCAGTTACGTTGTTCGCGATCGGTACTTGGATGGGTGACCGACGACCACCAACCAACCAAAACTCATCTTACGAGAAATATAATATAAAACTTTGTTATATATTATATTATATATCGTTGATATATATTATATATCCCCACCCTAATAAAATAATAAATCGGCTTATAAATAATATTTAGCATTCACAAAGAGAATAGAAGAAAAAATGAAAAAACATATTTTTAAAAAATGGCCAAACAATAGCTTTATAACGAAAAAAAGAATTATTCACTATTTCTCGCACGCATAATTTGATGATCATCAAAGTAGATTACAGTTACAAAGGTATTATTTACATTTATAATAAGAGAATCGAGTTTTCATGAAACACATACACACCACACATACATATACACAAAAAAAAAAAATAATAAAAACACAAAATCCTTTGCGATGTTATCTGTGTGTTAGTTTAATAATTCCGAACAACGGACGGCAAATTCTCTCTCTCTCTCTCTCCACGAATCCTCCAAAATTCTCTAGCATGCTGTGTAATTCATTATTTCACTCGTCAGACACTTGTTGTTCACACGTTGCAACCACGTATTATATCCACGATCCTCCGATAAAATTAGCCGTGGCTGGTCGTGACGGGCTTACCGAGAAGCGCGTACATCCACGTCGTCGCCGACGACGAGGAAGCGGCGGCATCCTCGATGAGCGCAGAAGGCCTCTCGCCTTCCCTCTTCTCGGCCAATGCCCTCGTGCTTCGAGGGTTGTCTCTTCGACGACGACGACGACGACGACGACGACGAGGTTCCGCTGTGCTGCCTCTTCTCGCGTGTTCTCCTCGTCGAACGCTTACACCCACCACGCCACGTGCTTACCACCGACGAAATTAGAAAAAAGGCGCGGATCGGCGGCGCGGGGCGTGTGTGTTTCCACCTCGACCCACACACGATGTGCACGAGGAAGGACCCCACAACGCGTGTGCCGGCAACCTTCGCGATCGTTTACCGTGCCACTACTGTTCCACAGAGTTGTGGTGGTGGGTTGTGGTGGTGGTAACGGCGACCGACTTTGCGAACTCACGCGCATTCTTCACCCGGAGACGGCCAACGAACACTGAGCGCGGGTGGGCGGTGGTGGTGGACCCGGACCGGTGGTGGAAGTGGAAGAGAAACACCGATGCTTAGATCCTGCCGCGGATTAACCACGGCCGGACCACGTGCTCGCTCTCCTGCGCCAACACCGACCACACACAGGTGGGAGTTACCTAACTCTCTCTCTCTCTCTCTCTCTCTCTGCTCTCTCCTCGCTTCTCTCCTTCTTTCTCCGTCAACTTTCCCTTTGCCGCGTCTCTTCCGTGTTCCTTCTCGACAGTCGCTTTCGTGAATCGACAGTTCGGTGTCTCTCGATTCTACCGTGTGTCTCTCGGTTACGAGAATTTTAAGTGAAGTTCAACGCGCGCCTATTATTATACGTTTATAATTTTCGTCGAATTTCTTCTCGATTCAAAACGATTCGTGCTGTTGTTGTTGCACTTCGAGGAGGGAATATAAATATCGCCCGGTATCTTTTACCAGCGAAGCTTTTTCAAAGATAATCGCCGATTGTGTTTCATTTCGTCGCGCGAATTCTTTATCGTTTTTATCTCCCGCGTTTATTGGTGCATCATTCTTTTTCTTTTTTCTCGCGTTTCAAAATCCTCGACGACAATCGACGACTTTCTTCGAGTCGACCATTATCGCTCCCAACGATCATCGATATTTACGCGTTTTCTCGAAGCTTGAAAATTGGGGAAAAAACAGGAGGCCACGCCGGTATCGCGTGTCACGGGCGTAAGTGGGAGTGACCGAAACCGCCTACACCTCGCCGATGGTACCGGGACACCCATCGTACGCAGGTCTAATCCCTTGGGAAGGTGCAACAGGAGACCAATAAACGTTCACGCGCTGCCTCCTCGCCCCCTCGAAATTGCTTCCCAAAATTTTGGAAAAAATTGGAACGATCTTTTTAATTAATTTCACCGTTATCTCTGATAATCGAAACTAATAATCGAGTTACATCGTGCAAATTTCTTCGTTTTCGGGTCGTCTCCGTTTCTTTTTTTTTTTTTTTTCATTTATAACACGAGCTTGTACGATTATTACGTTCGTACATCTTCGTTCGTACGTGGAATTTGGCTAAAATTGTACATAACAGATTCTTAAAAAGAGAACATTGAGAAAATCGGCGTCTCCAAAAGAACAAGGAAACGATGTTGGAGGAGATCGATTTTCTTGTACAGTGGATAGTCGGATATTTAGGTGTAATAGGAGAAAAGAGAAAGTAGTGTAGATTCACAGGTTCCTCGAAATTCGAACGAAAGAGAGGCGCGGATTAATCTGTTGTTAGAGAAATCAAACGAATAAAATCATCAAAGGTGCGACGATTTTAATTGATCGATTTTTTCGAGTCGATCAAATTATAATATATAATAATAATAATAATCTTAATAATCATCGTATTGGGAAGAGTTCAATTTGATTATTCGAATTTTTACGAGTTTCGTTCGAATCTTTCTCCTTTTCTTTCTTTTATTCGCGTATTTTCGCATAGTTTGCCCATAATTTTTTGCCCCTCTTCATCTCTCGAAAATGTATACACGTTCCGACGATAAGAATTCACGCACGAACAGCACGCTCGAAGGCGTCGCCACCTTTAAAATAAATATATGCATTTTTTAAGGAATTTCTTCCCGATATCCATCACGGGAAGCCTAATAAATGCGAATTGTTCGGGCCAGACGTTAATACCAACGTATCTCACACCCGCGTGTGTGTGCGAAAGAAATCGTTATTTCATCGAGTCGACGAATACCGCGTGAATTTTTCTTAAAAGTGGCAGCGAACGATTGGAAGAGGAGGAAAATGTCGAAATATATTCCATTCTTCTGATCGAATGTTTTTCTTTCTTTTTTTTTTTCTTTTTCTTGGAAAAATTTGCAACAAACTTTTCAAAGTTTTTGCAGATCGTTCGAGGAAATTTGTGCGAAACCACAAATTGTTTGTTAAACGACAGAGTTAGTCGGAGTTTTATGATGTTGTACGATGATCGAATTGGTGGGCGAATGACGTTTGCGAACTCGTTGTAAAGGCTCTTCCTGTAAACAGAGAAAAGGGAGTTGCGCGAGGGTTGGTTGTGTTTTATGAAAAAAGTTTCTCTTGTTTTATTATCGACATCTATCGATAAGCTTATGATAAATATTTATACTCGCGACAATTTTTTTTTCCTTCTTTTTTTTTTTTTGTAGAAATTTTATTTTGAAAAGAGTCGGTTTATTATTATTATTATTATTTTTTTTTTCACACAGTTCGATTCAGTTCGAGCGAGTTTTCGTGCGCCCACCTTGTCAGAAAGAGGCACGTGTGCGTCTTATTAATCGCTACCTTTTCAGTAATAAGAAGCATTATCGTAGTGGAAAAGAACGTGGAAATTTCTTTAATCGACTCTTTTATCGAAGTTATCTACCTTCATTCCCATCGCGAGCCAATGATAATAATCCGCCTTTGTCTTTACGTTCAAAAGTTTCAACGATAATCCTTCGCAATAATGGAATTTTCTAAAAAAAGAAGAGAAGAGAAGAGAAAAAAAAGCAGAATCACGCGATAAATCGCAATCGCAAAATTTCCTCGATCGATTAACAAATACATCCAAGAATTTTCAGAATATTCGTGTGCGACATAATTAAATCATCCTCCATCTTGAAACCGATCGGAATCGAAATCATTTATCTCGTATCCTTCTTCTATCCCAGACGGCACGTGTCCAACGCCTCACGCGACGCCACCTGTCGTCGTTCCCCAAAAACCTTCCTCCCCCTCCCCCACCACCACCAAGATTCCACCAAGCGCGTGGAACGCACGCTCCATACGTTTAATTAACGCTAATTACGCGAATCCAAACCCGATCTCCTGTAATCCCGTACGATCTCCGCTCCCAACCCGATAATTCTCATCGATGTCTCTCCCCTCCCCTCCCCTCGATTCCCGGATCGACATCGACCGTTTGAAGTGACCACGAGTTGAGGGAGGAGGAGGAGGGGGGAAGGGAGAAGGGAATTCGTCTCATTAGCGACGATTTTTCGGAGGAGGAGGGCTTGCTCGACGATTAAATTCGACGATTGATTCTCGTACGCGACACTCATCGGTGTCGGGTGTTGCGAAGCTAGTTGGATCGTCCAATTATATCGAGCATTATTTTCGAACGGGGCGGTGGATCCCCTAACGTTTGTTAGTTGGGCAATCGGCTTACAGTATAACGGGTCAATTTTTGAAATGGGATTTCCTGTCGATCCGGAAAGAACGGGTATTGGATCGGGTATTGGATGGTGTCGGTGGTGAATTTTTTTTTTTTTTTGAGATCGTTCGATGCTCGATCGATTCGATTGGGATTTTATTCAACGGATGGATTACCGTGGTAAATTTGTAGAATTTATTGTCGCGTCTCTCAGCCACGCGACCGAGAAACACTGATCTTTTCCACTCGATCATTGTGTTCACGAAATGCATAAAATTTACAATACGTGGATATTTATATACTTTTCGAAAGTGGTGCAAGTCGATAAATATTATAATATAGAAGAGATACAAAATATAAATCTTGATACGCATTGATCCAATTTATAAATAATAACAGGAAATGAAGAAATAGAAGTGTTTGTATATCGCACTCCTCCATATTCTTATATTCTTCGTATGCCTGGCATCGTTGTACAAATTCTTTCAAATTTTCTAACAAAGAAAACACGCGATTTCTTTTATTGACCGATTTTAAATCGAATCATTGGCACTTTTGTTAAACAAATTATGCAACATCTCATCTTCTTCAAAATAATTATATATATATATTATCAATTTTCACGTGGCATATATTTTACGATCGATCCACCATAATGGAACTAGCCAAAGGTGGATAAAAATTCTCTTCGTTTTGGTAAAAAAAAAAAAAGAAATAATAGCGTCTCGAGGTGTCGATTATTTTCTCGAGAAGAGAATTCTGTCCCGCGTTGATTGGTAAGATAACACTGGTCAATCTTTCGTGCAACACAATACCAACCCCAACCTGTTGAACCCCCTGAAATCGTATTCTTTCGTCCCTTAATTATGCTCGTACCAATGAACCAACCAACGTCGATCTTAAATTCCAAATATCTTCGTGTATTATTTTTAATCAAGTTAAACTTGAATTATTGTTAATCTCGTTTTCAACGAGATTTATTTATAGAAATTAATTATTATACACGATCGAGAAATTGGTGGCTTAACTTGAAAATAATACATATCTCGAAATTATATCATCGTTATTGTCGCATTAAGGGCGAAAAATGATAAATACCCTGGAATCTAGCTCGACCAGCCCCACTTGACCCTTCATTTGGCTGCATGGCCCAATTATCTGCAATTCAAAATTCGATTATTACGCTTCTCGCTAAATTTTAAAAAAACAATAATTTGAGAGGAAGATTTTTGAAGAAATTTGCAGAAAAATCGACGTACGAATCTCGTCCGATGAAGTAAAATTTCAAAGAAGGAAAATTTTCTATCCACCGTGTAAGTGAAATGTTCGTGTATATTTCGGATAAAATAATTCCGATCCGGAGAGAAATAGTTGTCCTGTTAAAAAAAATATTATTAATTATCGAAGCAAATCAAGGAAAATGAAGTTGTTCGCAGGGAGATCGATCGGCAAATGTTGACGGCGTGACAAATTAGCGGATCTCTTTTCTTCTCGTGTCATTGTTACGTTTTTAATAATTGGCTCCGATATTACTTGTTAATTAAGCGCCGAGCCGCGTCCAGTCAGACGCGAACGAAACGAGAGTACGTTCGCAAGGCGTATAAATTAAGAAGCCAGGCGTACTCCTCCACTTTTCGATAAATGTCGAGGGAGGGGGAGTCGACACGATCGAAATCGATTGATTAAATAAAATGGAAAAACTCTTGAGAAACAACAAATTCCTTCCTTCCGATTCGAGGATCGGAGAAAGATGCGTCCCAACTGTCGTTCATCAAAATTATCACGCACGCAGAAAATTTCGAACGAAGGGAAATAAGATAAGATAAAAATTGTGTACAGTTTTCTCGTCACTCTGAGTTCTCTAATCAAGATATTAACTTGGCAATTAAATGCAAACGATCCAACATTGTATTTATGCATTCTCGAGATACAACGACACTAGCGCCACGTGGCTGTTAACCACTTCTCCTCGTACGCTTTCCCCCTCGCCCCTTTTTCTCTTTCTTCATACTTTTCTTTCAACGAGGGGAAGGGAAGGAAAATTTTTGGGAAATTTAGACTCTCGACTCGTTTAGAAGAATCCCCTTCATTTTTCGCCCGATTCAATTTCAAAGTCCGCTCGAAAATTTGAACAGAAAGGACGAGTTTCCACGAAATAACTCCATTGCATTTATCTCGTTACTTTCGATACTTTCTACACCTGTCATTGTTTGGGGAGAAAGGAGCCGTTTTCATGATAGGGGATGTCGCCGACAAGACATAATCTGTCAGGCGCAGGCTTGATGACGTTTATATAATCACGTGGTTAAATTGTTGTCGGTACAGGAATTACGTAACCGGAATTCAACCGCGCCCTCGGTTCAGAGAAACACGAAAATGCGCGGTTGCGATACGTGCAAACGTCCGTATTTATACATTTCATTTCTTTCTCGTGAATATAGTGGATTAGCATTTCTCTTTTCCCTCTTTGTTTACAAACTTTTTATTAACTGCTTTTATATCAACTGCAATTCGTATAATTGTTCTAATCTGTAATTATTGAAACGTTTCTTCTATCAAATGTAAATAATAATAATCAAATGTAAATAAGGTGGATTAAATTTCGTCGGGCTAGGAAAAATTCGAGCGAATGAAAATGACAAAGGAAGACGCGTATATCCAGTGGGAAACGAAGTCCGGGTGAAAATACATTCAAGTGTAGCACGATTGTGTTATAAAATTGAATGGGGGTCAAATATTCAATTTGTCGTATTTACGATAGCACAAGGATGGAAGAGTGTCAGGTGGGAATGAAGGGTCGTTACAATCTTTTCATTTAATACGTCGCCTCGTCCGTTTCTGAACATCTGTATCCTCGAGCCTATTGTGCGATATACTCGCCAGCTTTATATTGTCCACATACATCGGAACAGATACGAAAGACAAGCGTAAAATACGATTCCAACAATTTCATCTGATAAACAATATAATATCCTGATTATATTATAGCCTGTCTATCAAGTGAGAAGAAATCAGGGAAATATCTTTTTCGTAATTTCGGAGTACCAAGAGATAGACATTAGAGTTGACATTTTTATTTCTTCTTTCTCGAACAGAAATATCTTCTTCTTCTTCTAATTTCAAAATAACCGAGAAATCGGTTGAAATTTCGACGCCTAGCTCTTGTCGTTAAAAATATTTGCCAGAGAAGTGACAATGGAGCGTCATTGGAAAAAGAAAAAAGAAGAGAATCTCATTCGACGTCAAATCACGCGCAAGAAATAAATAAATTCCATTCCGCGTGATATATATATCCACGCAAAAACTTAATCGTGCACATCTAAATAGAAACGTAATCGGCCGGGGGAGCCGATCAACTCGTTACGCGGCGCAACTCGTGCGTGCATATATTTCTCTATGATATAATACGTTCAATTTGACTATTATAAAATCATCTGTAACTTGTGTACTCGTTCCATCCAGCTTAACTTTGCTCGCGTTAACGCGATTACGCAATAAATTCTCCCGATGAATTGAATCTGCCTCCTCCATGCTTTTCCATTTTCCAACGAGGAGAAACAGGAGGACGAATTACACGTTGTAATTCTGAAGTAGAGTGCAATGGCGAAGAATCTTGAACAAATAAAATTTGGGACAAATGAATACGTGTGTACGTGGAACATTTTCGAAAATATAAGTTTTTGTGAAAATAAAATGGAAGATGATTTCAAACTTTTTCTCTTATTCGGTTTTTAATAATCGTAATTATAATCGAGGGTATGTAAAATTGCCACGAATTATCTCTCTGAAAAGGCACGTTTCGTGAGTAATTACCATAACGTTGGATTCAACTTGTAAATTACGTAAACTGTATCAATTATCGAGTGAATCAGCCGCGATATATTCACTCGATATAACGATTTATCAACGGGGATGTTCTCTTGGTTGCTGATAATGACAAAGGAAATTCACACTTTCCTAATTCTACGAGCCTGTAAAATAAAATAAAATGGGTTAATCCTTATTTTGCCATTTGATTAAAGCGAAATTAAAGGAGCCGTCTGAAATGTCCGATTAAATCGTCCCATTTTTCCAAATAACCTAACCTAACTTAACCAAGAAGCCGCGCTATAAAGAGAGAATATATCTGAACAGAAAGAGGTAACTGTAAAAGTTAAGAATTTCGAATAAATTCCCTTTCGAGTTATGATCGATGCAACTTTGGCCAACGACGTTTTAGGTTATGGTTTTTCCGAGCGCGACGTTCGTTTGAAAGAACAAAGCGCGAGGAGAAGAAGCGAGGAGAATCGTACGTTCACGAGCAGGCCAATGTCAAGGCGACCAACTTATTCCTTATCAATGCGGGGATTACGTAACGAACTGGAAGCACCGATAGCGCGAGCGTGTCCCCTATGTGCTTGACCTGTGACGTAAAAGTTGCAGGAACTGGCGCATGCAAGGCCGTTTTAAATATTTGCCAAGCTTCCTCCGCGCCACGATTCGAGGAGAGTCGAGTTGTTGGCGTTCATCTTTCGATCGATCGCCGAGTTTCGAATTGGAAATCTTCTCGATCGTTCGTTGTCGGATCGCGAAGAAATATTTGGAAAAACTATGATGCGAAATATCCGAATATTTCCGTTCAATTGTTATCACAATTTTTGACGAATTTCGCGTATATTTATGTATCGTTATATGTTATATACTTTGTATACGTCGAAAAATTAATTTTATATTGTATTCG